GCCTCTAGAAACGCCCTTCTGCTTCAATAACATGAGTAAAACCTTTAACAATGATTTATTCACGAAATAAACAACTCATTTATTTAGTCAGTGCAGGTTTTAGTTTATTCTTGCTACTGGCAAGATAAAAATATAATAAATTTCTTTGAATTAAATAGCATTAGTAAAAATTCACAACAATTCACTTCACTTTTAATGAGGGGACGATTATACATTCTTATAGATGGACATATCTGTACTTTTTTTATGCAGGGTATATACCCGACTTCCCGGATCTAAAGGTTTAGAAGCGTTTTCGAAGTAATGAAGTGATGAATAATTTCAATAGCTAAACATTTTACGTTTTTTATTAGTTTTCGTGAAGCATATCTGCTCACAGATGATAAGACGTGCGTGTCTGAAAAATGACTCCATAGACGCCTTTTGAGACCGGTTATATCCATAGTAGCATGATAGCTTCCTTAAACCTGTGACGTGGAAAAATTATTTTGAAATTTATCTGAAGTAGATGTTAAGAAGAAAAAGGTGTAAGCTATCCATGTTCCTGAACTATATTGGACATACGGGATAGCAATTTTTAGGAAAAGTACATTTACTGATTTATTTTTTTAAAGTGGTATTTGGCGCATGTTTTTCTTTCACTAGATTGTGTTGAAAAATGTGCGATACTAATTTTACCATTAACAATTTACCCTCTTGTTTCAAACATTTTGTCAGATGCAATTACAATTTCAGTCATGAGTTATGATAATAGTTACAGTTACAATGTATCCTTTCGTAAGTCATCATGGCGATTAAACTGAAACACTTGCCGACTTTGAAACACTTGTGAAATTTCAAAGACTTTTTATCTCTATCGCGGACCATTTGTATTAGAACTGTAACAAAAAACTTCCCAGGAGATGAGTCATATTCGAAGTCGTTACCACCAAATTATGTACGTAGGATGAGAGGTAAACTTTTACAACCCTCATATACGAGCTGGTTCACCTTTCAATGATCTTATACGGGCCTAATTTGAAAGTTTGTACCGGCGGGGAAGGGAGCTGGCACCGTGTTTACAATTTTCAAGCTGTTTTACAACCCTGACTCAAAAATTACATTTATTCGCTGGCCATGACATTCCAGACCATCATATTTTGCGAATTTACATCATGTATTCAAGTAAAAAAATTTATTAAGTAACTAAATTTGTAGAAAAAGACAATATATACAATAAGCACATCTATAGAATATGCAAAGTAATTGCTTAAAATAATCATTTATCCAACTAATTTTTTCCTTTTCAACTCTCTTAATTCCTTTCTCTGGAATAATCATACTAATCATTAATTGTCTCGTACGGAACAACGTTTGTGGAGCATTCGCACCAAATGTTATAGCGAATGATGCACTGAAATTTATTCGAAATAAATTTAATTACCACTAGCTTAGCAGTATGATTTAGATCAAACCTAATATATCTATAATAATTAATTTCATTAATGAGGCTTAACCTCATTATTCATGATTATAATCGACATCTGTCACGAGCTTTAATCTATATTTTAGAAATTATTTTGCCGAGATAGTTTTAGAGAGCTATGGTAATTTCCCATTATAAAATAATATGCTTATAAAGTACGCCATTGCCATGAAAAGCCACGTGATAGAAGCATTAATTGAATTTTCAGAATAATAAGCATGGTTAAATAGCATGAAATTAGATGCAGGGATAAAATTAAGTAAAGTATATGGCTGAAATGGTTCTCGGTTTTATTTCGATAAGAGTTTGTCTTTATAAAAAAATTAAATTTAAATTATTCCTAACCAGTTGGAATTAGGTATATGTTGTAATGAGAAAACATATAAAATCACCAGCAAATGTTGGATTTAGTTTTCAGCGCTTCAAATAATCTAATAATTTACAATTAGGGTAGGATAGAATCTTAAGAAGGAAGAACAATTATTGCGAAGTGATAGAATTTACCGTAACAGTGAAATATATTTTATGTGGCATGAAGATTTAAGATGAATTTGCGGTAAATTACTACAACTGGTAGTAAATCCTTCAACTGGTAGGGATGAAATCTATTTGCCCTTATTTATAGCGCATTTTATCTTTATAGCAAAAATGCACTATTGTGTTCGCCATGTCCGTCTGTCTGTCTGTCTGTCTGTCTGTCCGTCTATCCATCCGTCCGTGACTTCACGCTTTCGTCAATTTTGAAGCGGGCATGCCTGTATCAAAGATACGACATCTCTAGCTCTAATGCACTGTACTAATCGCAATGAAAACTGATTTATGCACGAGAAAATGCGCTCTCTGTCACTCACTGCCGTGAGTACTGAGTTATATTTTTTATATGCAGCTTACATGAACGCATAGACATTTTATTGTTTTTCCGCACCTACGTCTCTAAAAGAAAGCAATGTTTGAATTTCGCAAATAAATGTTTTGGCGGAGAAAAGTGTGGTTGACATTGGCGGAAGGAAGAAACTTATAATTATTTAAACTATCATATTTCATTTCACTATTGTTAAAATGGATTTAGAAATCGGTATCAATTTTATGTTAGGTATGCACAGAGGATGCTCGTACGAGCTAGAGCTGTAGCCTATAGACGTTATAAGTTTGATTCGTCCTAGAGCTTCGTAGCAAATAATATGCTCAAAAATGTCACTGAAAAAGTTTCAAATAATAGTACTATATTTTTAGCGCATTTTCTCATTTATGGAAAAAATGCGCTATTGTGCTCGCCATGTCCGTCTGTCCGTCCGTGACTTCACGTTTTCGTCGACGAAAAAATGCGCTCCCTGTCACTCACTGCAGTGAGTACTGAGTTTTATTTTTATTAGAGTTTTTATCTCTGTAAACTCATTCTTAATCGTCTTTATGAGAAACTAAATGAGGTAATGCACACGATTTCTCTAAAGACGGGGAAAAATTTTACTTCTGTCCAATTTTTTCAATGACTCGATTATGCATTAGCGCCACGAGACCTTAATTCTAATTTTAACAAGTTGTCATCAGATATATAAAAATCATTTGATATTCACATAGGGAATTAAACGCTACCCTTGATTAAAGCCTAGGCTATAATATGAGAGCTAGAATCCAAAGACGACTGTCGGGGCAACGTGGCAAAAGTAGAGCCAGCGTTCACAGAAGAAGAAGACGAATCTCTGCGCGGGGGTTTCGGCTTCCGTGAATTGACGAGACAAACAGAATTTGGTCCTCCACTTCTGTTGAGGGTGGCAGAACGTTGCGGAGCAGATGTTCCACTGTTGCGCTGGAGGGAAAGGTTCCCACCACCGCAATTCGTGGGGCTCGGGAACTGATTGGGGTTTGAAAATTGACATGAAGAACTCCCGTTGTAGGTATTTGGGGAATACTGACTTACGGGGAACTCGTTGCAGTACTGAGGAGGAGGGCAGTAACTTACTGAAGTGGTAGGGAACTGAGTGACTTGATGGCCGGGGGACAGGGAACATAAGCCCCCTGCAGTGCAAGGGGGGCCCGGTGTACCCATAACTACGGAAGTACCTGTGAGGTGAGGGTGAAATATTATATTCTATCAAGAATTATAAGGAGCATTTCAAATCCTGCGGAAGAAATATGAAGGAAATTTTAATATATAATCACAAATATTTTATAATTTGAACTCATAATCTACAGATTAATTTTTTGCATCTAAAGATTATTTATAGAATGGGCAAAATTTTAGCAAAATTCTCTCCAATACACTATACTAACTATAGCATTTTGATATGTAATGGAATTAAGTTCCTCACGTCTACTATACTTGGTGTGCGTGCGACCACCTCAGTCAAAACTCTCTATAGGAACCAAAATACCGACACCAATAAAATGAGTAATTGCTTCAAATTCCATACCCTAGCAAAATTAAGATGCGGGATCTACCCTGGAACAGGGTCGAGGACTTAGGAAGGGACTTAGGCTTATAGAAGCGCCAAGGACTTAGGGAGAACGTAAAGCAGCCTCATGACGCTCATTACAATTGCGCCATATTTTGGTCTGCGAAACATAGTAACTATTGAATTTCCTGGAGCCATATACTGAGAGATTGTTCAATATATTGCGCCATCACTTCCCTGGCGCCCAAAAAATTATCAAATTTCCAGAATTTCAAGTCAATATGTTGAGCGAAACTGAATCATGTTTTGACATAATTATGTTTCAGAAATTTATAGCATTTGAAACAGAAAGATCGCAGAAAGGGAGAAATAGTTTAGGTTCAAGTTTATTTACAGAGAGAAGTTTATTCACAGAAAGTTACTTAACAGTAATGAACTGAGAGATAATTTTTCAATCAGTATTTCGTACTACTTCTTTTCGAACGATTAGAAGAATATTGGACTGGACCATGACTGGCATATGCCTGGCACGTGACCGGCAGTGTAATGTAAACCCGGCCTCAATCAGCCAATAATGTCTGCTTCGACTTTAGGTTTGAGGGGCAGCCTCTGGGCATGCAGCCTCTGGGCAGCTTGCAATATCGGTAGGACTAGGCTTAGGCAACACATGTCATGCACTAAGGCGACTATGAAGTCGGAAAGGATATTCTGATCAGAAGCTGAATTCGATAGGGGGCTAAGCAGACAAAGAATAACTTTAAGCCTAGTGTTAGGATAAGAGTCGAATATGAAATTCATGCCCTGGATATATCAATACTAAAAATTTTCCGCAACAAGGGGGAATTTCGCAATTAACATTATGACACAAACGTACCAAATAATTCACTAAGATATCCGGTTTACGTATATAATTTGGCAAATTTACCATATCCAAATGTTCAGATACAATAAAGTGAGATCTTTTTGTTCATAGAATTTTACAACCGGTTGTATTATTCTTGTATTAAAAATTTATTTTCTCGATTGTAATTTTGGGTCCATATGAAACGAAATCGCATGTCGGGCGTGGATCGCAGATAGCCCCTTTGATGATGAAGATGATGCTAGCCCCTAAAGTAGAATAGGCTATTTATAATTAATTAGTAAATTAAAGTAAAATTCGCCTACACAAGAAATAATTAAATTAAATAATAAATCGAAGCAGAACTCACCTAAGGAAGAATTAATGTCCGAATCAGTGAGTGCATGTTGCGAGGCTGTGGATGTGGCCTGCAGAGGAGGTGGCGGGATGAACTGACTGGTTGAGAGAGCACTGCACCCGTTCCTCTTTCCAGGCCCTGCGGTGTACGATGTCACTTCCGTGTTGCGATCCCCGATATCTGGTGGCGTAGGGAATGTCCGTAGTTCCGTTACTTGAATATCCGCGGTGCAGGTTGTAGCCACCAACACCTCTTTGCCAGGTGGCGTTATGCTTCCTTGCGTGGTCCCTGGTGCCCCTCGGATTCCACTATCGACGGTGCAGAGAGGTTGAACGCTAACGCTGTCGTATGTTATTTTGGAGCCCATTTGGCTGCGTTCTCTGCGGTATAGCAGCGCTGCGAATAACATCACGTTGAGGACCAGCAGGGACAAGCCAATTGCCACAGTTAGGGTCAGGGCCGTCGTGTAATCCAGCAATGGATTTCTCTCGGAATCTTGCCCAGACGTGGAAATGTTTGCACGGCTTACACCAACGCCGTGAGTCGCGCTGATGTTCGGACCCAAAAACTCGTTGCGTGGATTGGGAAGCATTGGTAGGGGTGATGTAAATGACGCTGGAGTCGCCTTTAAAAATCTGATGAAGAAAATCGAATTTTTGGAAAAGCAGGATGGATGGACTGGAAATTATTTACGGTGTAGAAGTAGAGGAGCTGGTTGAATCATAGTAATGAGCCGATAAAAGACTCGCTATTGAAAATAAAAATTTGATCACAAACCAAATTCACTAAATGTTTGATAGGACGCAGAAAAATCTCCTAAAAATAATCACCACATGAAAAGTTTTGAATAATGATTCAGGTTAGAAAATACGCTTTGACGTATGAATGCTTATCAATGTGTAAAATAATTTATTTGGTCATCTGAAAAACTGATCTACATCAATGCTTCCATTTAAAAAGAATAAATGAGGAAATAATGTGTCTTTCGCGCAGAAACGTCATGTGTCAAATAATGTCTTGCGTTGACAATGACTGGATATTTGATGATCTTCTTGATAATTTATCAAAATATGTATAGTACGCTATATATTAGTGCTGACCTGTATGGGTCCAAGGGTCTGACAGGTCCTACGAAGTAGTCAGGATCGTCACTGTGGTGCCAGGATCTGGCCTCCTCGTCATGCAGAGCGTCTGACGTCAGCTGCAGCTCCGGCAGCAGCCAGTTCCAGAGCGCCACCTGGTGAGCGCGGTAGTGGTCACGCATGCGCGGCCGAGAACCTTAAGAGGAGAGGCGGGTGGTGAACAACCGAGTCTTCATAAAACGGACGAGAAGAACCTTAAGAGGACGATCCAGAGAATTTAGAGTCAGAGGTCGTGCTACCAAACTCGCAATGTACACGTATAAGCAAATAATACAGAGAATTCGGAATAATGGACCGTGTTACCAAAATTTCTATTTGCACTTTGAAGACGACGCTCCAGAGAATTGCAAATCAAATTACCGGGTTACCAAAATTCGCTATGCTGACAAATGTGTCGAGTTTAAGACGGCGATGCAGAAAATTTGACATCAAGGGACCGGGCTACCAAAACTCGCTATGTACACGTTTAAGAAGACGATCCGGAGAATTCGGAATCAGAGGATCGTGCTATAAAAGTTGCTATGTACACGTGGCGGTCGATTTCTCTCATTTGATTGATGATTTTAGCTTGAAAAGCCGTCAATTATTGGCCTACGTAGTTGAGAACTCGTATTTTTTTATAGAACCACCCAAGCACTTAGTTCTCATGGATGAGTGTAAATGTAAATTTAAACATGTAAGCAACTGAAAGTTTCTTAGTGCTTGCGTGTGGAAGAATTTGAACATTCATAAATTAGATGTTCAACCATATATACTTCACGTTCAATGATACAGTTCATATTTCACCATAAAACAATAACTCCCGAGCGCTAAATATTTTTAGAGCAATTTGAATCGAAATAAAGCAATATATACAGTTCAGACTATCTCATATATTTCGAGATAATTCACGTGGTTCTACTCGACAAATTCTTGCACCACTCTCTCATATCAACGGAGTTCGCATTCACATGCAGCACTCACTTATTTCCAGGTAGTTCTCGTAGACAGGATCGTATTTTTGCCACGTCAAGTTTTTGAAACGTGAACGTTCAGGATAACTAAAGTTTGGCTGGCTGCTTTCTTGCCCATTAGGAGTTCTGTTCAATTTGAAAAAGTACGAAACATATTATCGAATTTTTTTCCAGTTTTATCAATAAAAGTTACTGGGTATAGTTTTTCTCACTAAAAATTTTTGATAGAATAATTAAATTAACCACGATGAGCTGTCATTCGTTACAATTTAAAAATTTGTATGATGAAATGGAAATATTATTTTATGATTTTATCTGAGTTAAAAGGCGAACAGATTATCCTTGAGTTAATTGGGGGACAATCTTATCCACCCAAATGATCAGGTTCTTGTTCCGAATGATTTTCACTCTCAGAAATAGCGTATTTATCCATTATATTTATTAGCGTATCAGCGTATTTATTGTTGATCGTTAGCCAAAGCAACCTAATAACAACACAATTTAAGCAACTTTCTTCAACTTTACACATTAGATTCCAATGCGAGGGTCGATTATCTTGTTTCATGCAATCTGAGAGAAAATACGTCGTAATACGTAATCATCACTTCGATATTAATTTGTGTTCATGACTGATAACACTCACCCAGATCTCGCAAATGTTGACCACAACTTCATGAGTATTTCGGACACATGAGCATCATTTCGGGTGTAGTTACTTGTTGAGACCCACACCACACTCGGAACTGAGTCCTCAAATTGAAAACCAAATTCGGGACGGGAAAGGTGTTGTCGGGATGTCCCATATGATCCCGGTTTGTCAGCATAAGATTCCGGTGAATTAGAGTAAGGTCCCGGGGAGTTATGGTAGCTTCTTGATGATGTAGGTGGAGTGGTGACATCGCTGAATGGAGCCCCGAACATAAGGTCCAGCTCAGATGCAAATTTACTTCCCAGACGCTGAAGAATAAGAAAATGATTATAAGTTATACACGAAATTATACTTTGGGAAAACAATATCGAACGTATACACAGTTCATTCCCGAAGCATGTATTATATGTGGGATGCATGCATACCGTGTCAGAATTAAATCACTTCATGTAGATGAAGGTATACTGAATGTATACTAAATGATCTAAATATCTATTATATCTTGCGGTGGATATATGTCATGCAAAGCCCTTATGTTTTTTTTAAATAAATTTTTGATTATAAACTATACAAATCTCTAACGTAACCTTATTGAAAAGCTCGTGAAAAATTGCCACTAAGGAAAACAATCGATGACTTGCGCTGTGTTGAGCGAAGAGGCAGAAGTAACATACAGGATCGCACTTGATTATCAGCGCCGTGCTGAGCGTAGACGTAGACGTAATATAACGGATCATACCTGATGATCTGCGCCGTGCTGAGCGTAGACGTAGACGTAATATTACGGATTTTTTTTAAGGCCTCCCACACTCACCATTCCAACAAAAAAGGAATTGATTTTATTAATTAAAAACAGGGAATGGTTTCATGTCAGTGATCAGGGCCCCGACCTTAACGCCTCTGATGGTGGCCTACACCGACTCCGAGGGTCACTGAGCTGTGACGCGAGCGAGGAGCGGGCCCACGTCGAACTTTTCTCTGACTGCTGTTAGATGCTAGCTGCATTGCCTCTCTGCACGACCAAACCCAACCTTTGCTCCAACCATAGAGTCTCTCTACGTTCGCCGGACAATTCCGTAATGCGACGGCCAATCTCTGATATTAAAGGACCAGTCGTTTCACCATATGTGCCCGCTGTTTCCAATGCGACTGGCTCGAAACGATACCGAGCTGCCAACGCCGCGTATTTACGTCTCTTGCTATCCTCCGCCGCACGAGCCGCGAACCCAGCAGAAAATCTTTACCTCGCTCTACAATCGCACGTACTGTGAGTAGAATAATGACAGCTCGTGCAAAGCACAATACGCGTAGAGGCGCGGGGTAAAACCGGGGGGCTTTGCGCCCCCCAAATCAGGGGTTTTCCGTCATTGGCAACAAGCCTCGAAATCATAACTCTCAGTCACGGTAGACTTGGATTCCAATTAAAATTATCGCACGCATTCACGGTAAATGTGCATCGTAAACGAAATTCTAGAATGAAATTTGCAGCAAAGTCGCTCTCAAAAAATATAACATTCATGTGAAGGCAGACTTCCTGCATTTATAAGATAATGATGACGACTAAATAATTTTTGCGTATTTATTTCCTTTATTATAATGACAAAATATTCACACGAGAATCCGCCTATTTACAAAAATGTATTTAAAGTCTTATATACACATTGAGTTAGTTTTGACTAGTAGGGTAAACGAAAATCAAATTTTTTAATTAAAAAAAATAATTATGTAACCACAGATCATTATAAAGCCTCGGCTAATTTGCCGCAGATTTTAAGTAAGTAACTGGAAGGGAAATAATTACGTTTTCCATAATTTTACAATTTGGCGATGAACTAAATATTAAAAAATTATTTCTTGGTAGAGTTCCGCCGAATATTTCAGAGCATTACTTGTTAAAAAACTAGGCATCATAAGACCATGCCAAGCTATCAAGACTTTGATTTCATTTCCGAATTTCCGTATAACAAATAAGATCGCCACGTCTGGCTCATTACAACTTTATTAGTGCCCAAGTTGAATTGTTTCTAATGAAAGCTTTACATTTCCTTACAGAATTGAAAATGTATAGAGAAATCACGGCTGCCATCATCGATTGATTCTTCAGGCATCATTGCACCTTCACTTCAACTCTAATGTTTCCAATAGAAATTTCTGTTGGAAAATCTATTTTTGAATTCATGGAATATCTATCTATGTAACCGAAATTCATTTGAGCATCGAAGTTGTAGAATTATTCTATAAGTTCTATACTGATTCTGGAAAATTCTATGCTGCATCTGGATCAATATATGTAGATTACAAGATTTAATTTGGCTTAAACTCCTATTTAATTCTCAGCTCTTCCTCAACCAACAATTAAAATGATTTAAAAAGTTTTATACATCGATTCTTAAGACTACCATAGATAAAAATGGACCGACTCAAGCAATAAAGGCTTGACACTAACATAGATTACTTCTATTAACCTATTTACGCGAAACATTTGATAAAATTCATTCCCGACTTTACGATCGAGTCATCATTAACTTCATTGAACTTATCTTTTATGGATACGCTTTTTAATGCATTTCCAACGCTATATTGTAGTTTAACTGGTTTTAAACGAAATGCCCATTAGCTGGGTAATTCAAAGAGATAGAACATTAATAACTGGTAACTTTTTGTGTATAACTCTTATTATAATTTGTATTAACTTTAAATATGAGTTCAAGGGGAAAATTTACACTAAAATCGGAAATTGAAGCCTCTAGAAACGCCCTTCTGCTTCAATAACATGAGTAAAACCTTTAACAATGATTTATTCACGAAATAAACAACTCATTTATTTAGTCAGTGCAGGTTTTAGTTTATTCTTGCTACTGGCAAGATAAAGATGTAATAAATTACTTTGAATTAAATAGCATTAGTAAAAATTCATAATAATTCACTTCACTTTTAATGAGCGGACGATTCTAAATTCTAATAGATGAACATATCTGAACTGTTTTTTTTATGCATGGTATATACCCGACTTCCCGGATCTAAAGGTTTAGAAGCGTTTTCAAAGTAATGAAGTGATGAATAATTACAATAGCTCAACATTTTACGTTGGTTTTTTGTAGTTTTTTGTGAAGCATATCTGTTCAAAGATGATAAGACTGGCGTGTCTGAAATATGACTCCATAGACGCTTTTTGAGACCGGTTATATCCATAGTAGCATGATAGCTTCCTTAAACCTGTGACGTGGAAAAATTACTTTGAAATTTATCTGAAGTAGATGTTAAGAAGAAAAAGGTGTAAGCTATCCATGTTCCTGTACTATATTGGACATATGGGATAGCAATTTTTAGGAAAATTACATTTATTGAATTATTTATTTTAATGTGGTATTTGGCGCATGTTTTTCTTTCACTAGATTGTGTTGAAAAATGTGCGATACTAATTTTACCATTAACAATTTACCCTCTTGTTTCAACCATGACTTATGATAATAGTTACAGTTACAATATGTCTTTTCGTGAGTCATCATGGCGAATCAAATAGAAACACTTGTTGATTTTGAAACATTCATGAAAATTCAAAGACTTTTTACCTCTATCGCGGACCATTTGTATTAGAACTCTAACAACAAACTTTTCAGGAGATGAGTCATATTCGAAGTCGTTACCACCAAATTATGTACGTGGGATGAGAGGTAAACTTTTACAACCCTCGTTTTCGAGCTGGTTCACCTTTCAATAATCTTATACGGGCCTAATTTGAAAGTTTGTACCGGCGGGGAAGGGAGCTGGCACCGTGTTTACAATTTTCAAGTTGTTTTACAACCCTGCTCAAAAATTGCATTTATTCGCTGGCCATGACATTCCAGACCATTATATTTTGCGAATTTACATCATGTATTCAATTAAAAAAATTCATTAAGTAACTAAAATTTGTAGAAAAAGACAATATATGTATACAATAAGCACATCTATAGAAAATGCAAAGTAATTGCTGAGAATAATCATATATCCAACTAATTTTTTCCTTGTCAAGTCTCTTGATTCCTTTCTCTGGAATAATTATACTAATCGTTAATTGTCTCGTACGGAGCGACGTTTGTGGAACATTCGAACAAAGTTACAGCGAACGATGAACTGAAATTTATTCTAAATTAATTTTATTTCCTCTAGCTTAGCAGTATGATTTAGATAAAACCTTATGTTTCTCTAGCAATTAATTTCATTATTGAGACTTAACCTCATTATTCATGATTATAATGTACATATGTTACGAGATTTAATCTATATTTTAGAAATTATTTTGCCGAGATAGTTTTAGAGAGCTATGGTAATTTCCCATTATAAAATAATATGCTTATAAAGTACGCCATTGCCATGAAAATCCACGTGATAGAAGCATTAATTGAATTTTCAGAATAATCATGGTAAAAAAGCATGAAATTAGATGCAGGGATAAAATTAAGTAAAGTATCTTGCTGAAATGGTCCTCGGTTTTATTTCGATAAGAGTTTGTCTTTATAAAAAAATTAAATTAAAATTATTCTTAACCAGTTGGAATTAGGTATATGTTGTAATAAGAAAACATATGAAATCACCAGCAAATGGTGGATTTAGTTTTCAGTGCTTTAAAAAATCTATTGATTTACAATAGGGTAGGATAGAATCTTAAGAAGGAAGAACAATTATTGCGAAGCGATAGAATTTACCGTAACAGTGAAATATATTTTATGTGGCATGAAGATTTAAGATGAATTTGCGGTAAATTACTATAAACTGGTAGTAAATCCTTCAACTGGTGGGGATGAAATCTATTTGCCCTTATTTTAGCGCATTTTCTCTTTATATAAAAAATGCACTATTGTTCTCGCCATGTCCGTCTGTCTGTCTGTCCGTCTGTCCGTCCGTCTGTGACTTCACGCTTTCGTCAATTTTGAAGCGGGCATGCCTGTATCAAAGATACGACATCTCTAGCTCTAATGCACTGTACTAATTGCAATGAAAACTGATTTATGCACGAGAAAATGCGCTCTCTGTCACTCACTGCCATGAGTACTGAGTTATATTTTTTATATGCAGCTTACATGAACGCATAGACATTTTATTGTTTTTCCGCACCTACATCTCTAAAAGAAAGCAATGTCTGAATTTCGCAAATAAATGTTTTAGCGGAGAAAAGTGTGGTTGACATTGGCGGAAGGAAGAAACTTATAATTAATCAAACTATCATATTTCATTTCACTATTGTTAAAATGGATTTAGAAATCGG